CACAGCAGCCTTTCCACCAGAGGTACTAGTCTTCCCTGAACAAACCCTAACTCCAGGATTAATGCCAAGAGCAGAACAGAGATCTGTACACAACATTTATAGATCTGACCAAGGCCTTTGATACTTTCAGTCATGAGGGCTTATGGAAAATGATGTCAAAATTTGGTTGCCCAGAGAAGTTCACCAGCACTGTACGTCAATTTCATGATAGCATACTTGCCGGGGTTCTGGATAATGGACAATGCTCTCATGCTTTCCCAGTCACCAATGGAGTGAAACAAGGCTATGTGTTTGCTCCTATGCTTTTTAGCATAATGTTTTCAGCCATGCTGACAAATGCTTTCAATAAGAATGAACATGGCATCAAGGTCAGCTATCTCACTGATGGTAAATTTTTCAACTTGAAAAGACTACAAACCAAGACCAAAATGGAGGGAGTGTTGGTGCATGATTTTCTGTTTGCAGATGACTGTGCACTCAATGCAGCCTCTGAAGCTGAGATGCATCAAAGTATGAATCGTTTCTCTGCTGCTTGTGCTAATTTTGGCCTAACAATTAACACCAAGAAAACACAGGTGTTCCATCAGCCACCACCACATCACCCATACATGGAACCATCAGTTACAGCAAATGGAGTAGTTTTGAATGCTGTGGATAAGTTCACTTACCTTGGTAGAGCACTTTCCAGGGATGTACACATTGATAATGAGGTTGACTCATGCATTACCAGAGCCAGCTTGGTGTTTGGGAGACTCCAAAGGAAAGTAAGGGAGAGAAGAGGTATTAGACTGACTACCAAACTGAAGGTCTACAGAGCCATTGTGCTGACCTCACTTTTGTATGCCTATGAAACCTGGACAGTACACTAGCGCCGTGCTAGGAAACTGAATAGCTTCCACTTGAATTGTCTTAGGAAGATTCTGAAGATCACCTGGCAGGATAAGATACCAGACACTGAGGTCCTTTCTCAAACTAAATTTCTAAGCATTCAAACTTTGCTTTAGAGGCACAGTTTGGATGGGCTGGCCACATTGTTTGAATACAAAATGTAAGCTTGCCAAAAAGACTATTTTACGGAGAACTCACACAGGGCAAGCATTCACATGGTGGTCAGAGGAAGCGATATAAGGATACTCTCAAGGTTTCTCTTAAGAACTTTGGAATTGATTGTGTGACATGGGAGACACTGGCAAAGGAATGTCCAGCATGGCATGTCCATAACAGAGGTGCTGTGCTCTATGGGCAAAGCAGAATTGAAATAGTTCAAGAGAAAAGCAATATGTAAAAACAGAGAATCCACTGCAAATGTTCACTTGGACTATTTGTGCCTGACCTATGGTCCAACATTCCAAGTTCATATTGGTCTGATCAGCCACAGTCGGACACACTAAAACTTGATGCTAGCACACTGATACCATTTTGGTCCTCTTCGAAAATGAAGGACAACAACCAACCAACCAAACAATTTGAGATCTGTAATTGATACTATAACCTTCCTTCCCACTTCCTTTTATTATTATCCTTGAAACTCCTAACCTTTTTTTGTTCCTCCATCTAAATAGTTATCAAAAAAAATTTTAAAAATAAGTTCATAGACCCCAGGTTATGAACTCCTTTTTTAGACCTATAAACAACATGAATTTGACATTAAGATTTAAAAAAAAAATAGCAATATTGTCACAAACCAAAAGCCCACTCCTTTAAGATATAAAGAGTGGGATGGGGATGTAGGCATGATGTACTAATACACCATCAAATTGAAGAGGAGAGCTATGCAGATACTATTGTGTAGTATCATATATTTCTGCCTGAACTTTGTGCCCTCCTGACTGCTGCCTGTCACTTGGTGCTAGCTTCCCTGTTTCTCCTGTTGTTATTCCTTTTTGGCTGATACGCTCATCTAATCTGGACTTGACTCATTTCTTGGTATCTGTTCATGTTTGCTTTCTTGGTTTTGGCCCTGTTTCCTTTTGGCATTTAAATTTTCCTAGATACCAACTTATTTAATGCTATCCTTGACCCATGGGCATTGATGGACATAGAGACTGGCTATTAAATATTTCCCTCTGATATGCAAGACTAAGACTTGGCATTTGTTTGCTATTTTAAATTATAATAATTCTAATATCTTTGAGAGCAAGGACTACTATAATTTTATTTGCAGGGGTAGAGAACCTGTGGCCTCAAAGCCACTTGTGGCCCTCTAGGACCTCAAGTAAGGCCCTTTGACTGATCCAAACTTCACAGAACAAATCCCCTTTATAAAAGGATTTGTTCTGTTAAGTCAAAAGGCTGCACCCAAGAACCTAGAAGGCCATGAGGCCACAGGTTCTCTCTCCTCCCCACATATTGTAACCATTTCTCTATCATTAAATATTCAGATAACTGAGACAATAGAGGCAAAATCCTTATTTTGCTTATATTGCTGGGTCTAAAGAAAGTTGGGTGGACTCTCCTGTGCAGAATTTCTGGAAAAGAATCATACAATTAGAAAATATGGAGGAGGTGGTATTTTGCACTGGAGGAGGTTGTATTTTGCACTGGAGGGTACACTACCCACTGAATTACCCACTTCAAGAAGATCATAGATCTATTGAAAATACATTTGGATCCCTCAGGCAGACACCCCTCCCCCAGTAATTGCTTCAATTGACCATACAGTTTGTTAAGCAAACTGGGATGTAAGAATTAAAATGAATTTAGCTGATGACAGATTTGTAGCCCAGAGAGATTAAATAACTTGAGGGTTCAAAACAAAAACAAGCAAACTAAGAAGGGATACTTGCTATCACTCCTTTGAAGGATGTAAATGCTAACACCAACTTTATTCCTTTGAAGTCACATATGCATATCTATAAATTATAGTGATATATTTGCATGTTGTATGTGTGTTTTAATATGTCTTTGCTATTTAGTTTTACCTCACATCTGGACTACTGCAGTAGTCTTTTGGTTGATCTCCCTGCCTTAAATCACTTTCCATTCTAATCTATCCTTTACTCAGTTGTCAAATTAATCTCCCTAAAGTGCAGCTCTGATTATGTTGCCCCTCTATTCAATAAACTTCAATGGCCCCCTATGAAGTTCAGGATCAAATATAAAATTCTCTATTTAGCATTCAAACCCATTTATAACCTGCTCCCCTCCTACCTTTCCAGTCTTCTTATACCTAACATCCCCTATATCCCCTAATCTCCATACTCTCGGATCCAGTGACACTAGTCTTCTTGATATTCCCTAAACAAAACAAGACACCCATCTCTGGGTGTTTTCACTGGTTGTCCCCCATGCCTGGAAGTATAGCCCTCCTCATCACTGCCTCCTGGCTTCGCTTGTAGAGGGAAGGCACTAGCAACTAGAAGGAGGCAATCAAGTTAGAGATTGGAGGTGGTGCTGGACCTGAACTTCGAAGGAAGGTAGGATCGTGTGCGGTAGATGTGAGGAAGGGTGAAGTCCAGGCATAAGGGACAACAGGTATAAAGGCAAGGAGTTGGGAGGTAAAAAAGCAAGCAGGGCAGTTTGAAATGTAGAATTCATTTAGGAGAGTAATGTGCAATATGCCATAAAGGATAAGCAGGGACTAGATTGTGAAGGGCTTTAAAAGTCAGAGAAATTTGCATTTTGTCCTAGAGGCAAAAGGGAACCACTGGTGCTTCTTAGGGAATGACACGAGATATTTATCCTAGAAAAAGTTTAAGCTTGGTATATTTAACTTAGGTGTCATGATAGCTGTGTTCAAAAATCTGATCTGCTATCACATAGAAAAGGTATTCAATTTGTTGTGCTTGGTCCTAAAGGATTCAAGCAGCAGCCAAGTTCTGAGAGGCAGATTCAGGCTTAGTGTATGGGGAAAACTTTAATAACATCACAACTACCCAAAAGTTGAAAGGGCTGCTTCAGGAACTAGTATAGTCCCTTAAGTGGAAGTCTTTAAGCAAATGTCAGTGGACCTTTTCTTGGGGATGCAGAAGGGATTGTAAAAGGTTGAATTAAGGTTTCTTCCAACTATGATAATCAAAATCTGTTCATATGTGGAGCAGTCTGAAGAAAGTTGAAATCATTTAAGCCCCTTTAATCTTAGTTTAGCGTTCTACCCGGCCATTTGATTTAATCAAACGCTTTAAGGTTGGAAAATGAGTAGAAAGCAAAACCAGCTGGGAGAAGAGAACGGAGTAAGTGACGGAGTGAGTGTCGTCTGTTGGACCTCAAAGCCCGGTGATGAGGGGTGGGGGGAGGTGAAGGGGCTTCTCCTGCAGGGCTCTCACTTCTTGCTCCAGTCGCAGCATTTAAGGAAACTTTAGAAGAAAAACTCCAAATGGAGCCTGACCGTGCCATGCCCTTTTTGAGGTCGGCCAACAAGAAGCGATGACCTTGGCACACCTAAGCCCACCTACACCTTTTCAGGCATGCCCGACCTGGGCACATCCTCTACCCAAAGCCCTTTCGGTGAAGCCTTGGAAAAACCCCATGATCGTAAATCAGATACAATGTATCACTTAAAAACTTTACTACGACTGGTGACAGAAGAGGGGGTGGGGGCGGGGCAATTCAGACCCCAGCTGTGCGTACGACCGTGGTCAATGCACTTAAATCTCTCTGGGCCTCAGTTTCCAATCTGTATAACGGGGGGCTCGGGCTGTACTAGCTCCGACGACTCTTCCAGGTCTAGATCCACGTGCTTGGGGCTTCATTACGAGATATGGGAAGGGAGTTTCGGGATTTAGGGGCGGTTGCCGCTGCCTCAGGTTCCCCTTTCCGCCCGCACCGTGAGCTAGTCCTGCCTGGGCACGGCGGGTGGTCCCCGAGGACACGCCTCGCTCCCGGCCCTCCCGCTTCTCCGCTGAGCACAGGCCGAGCGTCGAAGACCGCAAGGGGACGGAGCGACTTCCCTCCAGATTGAGCCCCGCCCCTGCCCCTCCCCCCGCCGCTTTCCCCCGCCCCCGCGAGGCCCCAGAACCCTCCCGGCTTCCGCAGTCTGGGCTCGTCACGTGCCGGCCCGTCACATGACCTGCGCTCTGTCAGTCGGGACGGCCACAGCCGGTTTCCCTGTGGTGTCTCGGCGGCCCCAGCTTGTCCTGGGGCTAGCGCTCTCGGCGTCTTCTCCGCTCCCTCCAGCTCACACCCACGCTCCTGGACCTCTGCAGACCGCGCGTGCAGGACCGGGTAAGAGACAGACGCCAGTGCGGGGCCAGAGCGGAGGCTGGGGCTGGGCCGGGGGAGGAGGAGAAGGCGCCCCGGGCCCGCAGCCCCTGCCACTCTTTCGTCCACCTCCAGTGGGATGTCCTCGTCTGGGGTTTAGAGATTCGTAGCTCGTCCACTTTCTCAGATAAGGATGTAGGTAAAGGAGAGGAAGAGGTGGGAGCCTGGGGAGCAGCTGACTCACCTTTCCAGACTCTCCTCGGGTCCCCTTCCCCCGCCCCTAATTCTCTCTCGTCCCCTGCTGCCCTTCACTTAAGACTGAGTTTGGAGGCCTTGTTGCTGGATGATAGGAGGCCGGGGGAGGAAGGCTCCCCCTCAGAGGAACTGGAAGGGCCCTCGGCATTTGGGAGGTGGCCGTTCTCCAAAGCTGCGACACAGTCTCCTCTTCCTGCCCCCCCACCTTCTCCATTTGGGCGCTAGAGCGTGAGAGCTGGTTCGGTTTAGGCTTTAGGTTGATGGGGCCTCCTCTGATAAAGGTTGTTTCTAGTACCCAAGTAATTATCTTCGTCTCTGATTGCCACAATAGGAAAACCTGATTAGGCCTGGGCCAATTGGTTGCAGTGGATAATGCTGCTGCTTCTCTCTGGTCTAGCCTGCCCTATCCTTGTCACAATCCTTTGTTTAGGTAGCAAATCCTTGGATAATGAAATTAGCACGAAAACTGAAGGTCTTTGGTTTTGTAGAATAGAAAATGTCAGGTTGATCTTCGATTTTTTTTTTTGTGGTGATATATATAACTGGTAATACTGGAAATGTATTTTGTATGTTAGCAGCATAATAGGTTAGCAGTTGAATACCTGAGGAAAAAGTCATTTATTACATTAAGACTTTAAACGTCCTTGATCATAATAGACTTTCAGTACTGTTTACCCTTGGATATTAATTGTTTGCATCACAGTCTTGCAGGAGAGCTGATGTGTTTGTGAAGTAACAGAAGAATTTATTCCTACTTGGAGAAATAACTTCCACTCTCTGAAAATTTCATTTTAACTGATAACTCAGTCTTTTAGATCAGAAATATTACCCTTTAAAAAGTTAAAAAAAATTTTTTTGCAGTGTCATTCTTTTAGTCAATTAATAAAATAAGTAAATTGATGATTTGTATGGCTTTACTTGCACTTTAGAGGTTCTGCACATTTACATTCTCCCAGGAGAACATAGAAGAAGGGAAGTTAATCCTATTTGCATAAATTTGAAGCATTTTCCTCGTATTTTTGTATCTTAAATAATTTCTGATGTGTTATTTTAAATGATCTCCAGTATGATGTTACCCTTACATTAATGAAACTATGTTGAAGAGTTTTTTTTTTCTGAAAAAATAAAAGTTCAGGATGAAAATATCTCTCTTAGGCTATAATCCAAAGTTGGATGCCAGGGATCTTAGAGCTGGAAGTTCTTTGCAATCATCTATTCTGCAGTGAAAACTGCCAGTTCTCCCACTTCCCCCATTTTACATTATATCCAGACGCTCAAGGTTAGTTTTATGTCTAAGTAATTAAAATTTAGGAAGTATAATGTAATTTTGTTTAATTTTTGGTCTGTTTTTTCTTTACATCTGACTTTATGATTATTGAAGATCTAACTCATTAATTATTGAAGATTTGTTGAAAAAGTTCAAGACTACAAATTTAGATGACCAAAATGGATATCCGAGGTGCTGTGGATAATGCTGTCCCAACAAACATCATTGCTGCCAAGGCTGCAGAAGTTCGGGCCAACAAAGTCAACTGGCAATCCTATCTTCAGTAAGTATAGATTTATAATGAATCATAGGTAGTCAGCTGCTTCTCATTCAATCTGGTAGGCTTTTTTCCATGATCATGTTACTGTGCTAGATCCTGGAAAAACATTTATGACCTGAGTAGGTGGAAAAACCTATTTAAAATAAATGGCTGTCTTTTTTGTGTATTAAGATTTAATGTGTTTGGGTTTTCACTGCTCTTCATCTGCATATGGTCCTCTTTTTTGTTTTCTTGAGACCTGGTTTTATCATCAGAGATATTATTGTGTGTATTGATGGATATTTATGATAGAATGGATTCCTCTTTTATTAAAATATGTGTATTTGATATATATATATACACACACACACACACATATATACGTGTGTGCATTGTGAATAATGAAACTTAGAAATTTCTAGCTACAAATTTTAATTGTTTTGTAAGTGGAGGAACTTGAGTTACAAAGGTAATTCTCTTAATCACTCCTTTTGTGTTTATGTGTGCTACTACAATAATTTGTAGGCAGTAAAATGTTGGGGTCTGGTTATGTATCCTGGTTTCTCTAGTCTGGAGTCAGTTTAGGCTAGAGAGGGCCAAGAAAGAGTCTGTTTATAGTACCTCTGGATCTGCTTACATTTTAAACAATACCATTGTTATTCATTATGAAACACCCAGTAGGATTTGATGTTTAATGGTGGCCTCTGAGAAAATGTTTTAAGTTTGGTGAACTTTTTATAATGCTCCATTTCCTTTTATGAAGTTACTTTTTATAATGTTGTTTCCTTTTTCTACTTCCTGTACATCTACATATTCTTTTCTCCTGTATGTCTTCATTGTACTTCACGTGTCCTCCGTGAAAGCCATCTTAATTGCTATAGGGAATAAAGTAGATTCCTGTTCTCAAACAACTTGCGATTTATTAGGGGAGTTAAAACATACAAATGAAAACTCAAGTTCTAGTTCCATATTGATAGCTGTTTGCTGTATATCCCCCCACCTTCCAAACCCAGCTAAATTAACCATCCTATTTAATTTTGTTTTTCCTCTTGATTTTCCCTGTTTCTGTCAACAGAACCTTATTCCTGGTCACTGACTTTCAAAACAATCCAATTTCTTTTCTCTTACTTCCAGTGTACTTACTGTATTTCAGGCACTTGTTACCTTTCTCCTGGACTATTGCAATAGCCTCTTAACTCATCTTCATTCAAACTCTTTCCTCTGTAATCCCTGATGCAAATAGTTATTGGAGCCTAAATTTGCCTCTTTGCAACTTCTACCTAGCTGTTGCTCCTAGGTCTCCATTCTGGGGCCAAACAGAATAAATCTAATCCCTCTTCTTTATGACAACCCTTTAAACCTTTGAATATGGCACTCCTATTCCCCTCTTCACAAAGTCTTTTTTCGAGGGCCCATGCATGAATAACTGGTAGGCACAGTGTCCTTGGGCTGGGGAGGGGTTGTCAAAGACAGTGTTTCTGTGACTAGGAAGAAATTGGGGTCCAAGTACAAGCACAAGCACCCCATCAGTCCCAATTTACCTTTCCAACCTTATCTCCCTCTTCTCCTCTTTATATGCTTTATATTTCAGTCAGATTGAATTACTTGCTTTTCCCTAACTATATCCTTTTCTTTTCTTGCCTTTGTTCATGTTATTCCCACTGCTTGAAATGTCCTTTACTCCTGGTTCTACCCTGTATAATTTTTAATTACCCTTCAAAGCCCTGCTCAAATGCCTTCTGTTTTATGAAGTCCTTCTTCCCCGATTCCCCTCAAAGAGAAGTAATTTCTTCTAAATTGCCTCTTTGGGTCTATTTCTATACTTTTTCATTTTCTTCCTCAATTTTAGTTATTTGAATAGTATAATGTATAAACTCTAGTAGACTGGAAGCTTCATTAGAACAGGGATTGTGTCTTATTCATCATTGTATCTTTAACAGTGTCATGCATATAGTCAGTGCCCAATAATTGTTTAATGACAAAAGAATAAATTGAGTGAAGATATTATTGAATAATAATAATACCTTATGTGATCCTTGCAGTTTTAAAAGTGCTTTCGCTTTGCCATTTGAATCAGTTAGGGGAGAAGAGATATTAATCTCCATTTTACAAATAGGACTCAAAAGGCTTAAATGTCTTGACTGTTGTAACATATCTAGTAAATGTCACGGAGGTATTTGAAATCTGATGTCTTCTGATCCATCCAAGCCCTGTGTTCATTCCACTATGCATATGAAGCTTTGGAAAACTGCCTTTGGCCTTAGGGCTATTGGTTTGCTATCTCCAAATTAAGATATAAATTGTGTTGCTTACAAAGTTGGAAAGAGTTAGAGAAAAGATAAATAAATGTGAGGTGTAATTTATAGGGAGGACTTTGAGGAGAAGGTTCTACTTCAAATTGGCCTTAAAGAATGGTAGCCTATAGATAGAGGTAATGGAAGGGGAGGAGGGCAGAGTATATAGACTAGTCATACCTGATTTTTTTACCCATACATCTTTTTCCTACTTCCTTTCAAATAGTTTTAGTATTTTTGGGGGTTGGGGAGAAGAGACAAATGTTTGAAGTTGTCAAGGTGTTTACTGTGGACATTGAACAGTAATTTAGAACTTAGATTGCATTGTGTGTGTTTTTTCTTAGTAACTTTAATGAGTTATAATTTAGACTGTTCATTAAGACTTTTTGTGATATACTTCTTCATATGTGGATAATTCTGTCAGAATTGCTGAAATTTTATAATCATATTTTTAAAAAGTTTTATGAATATGTTTTATGAGTACAATTTCATGTTAATACAGTATTCTGAATAAATGAGAGAATGAATAGATGTGAGCAAGGAGAATTTAAGACCACACTTATTAAGAAAATGAATTTTTGTGTAAATGATGTTTTAAAATTAGTTTTTTTATGTTAGTAAAAAAAAATTTCAAAATACATCTTGTTCCCCTTCTTAAATTTCTGTTAGCAGCCTCTTTCTTATTTATGTAAAGGACTATGAAGTTGGCATAGGGGAGATGCTGCCTCTGATTCTACTGGCTTCTCTCAGTCTTCAGAGTCCTCAGCTCCTGTCTAACCACAGTGCTGCCTTCCACATGAGGTCTTTACTTCCTGCCCTCCTGTCTCCAGTGTTTGTTTTCTCTTCCTCTTGAAATTAATTTGCATTTATATGTACATGTTCTGTCTCCTAGAATGTAAGCTTTGAGGGCAGGGATTATTTTACTTTTGGTTTTATATCCTTAGTGGCAGGCAGCAAGGTTTTGCGGTAAATAGTGCTGTTTTGATGCTGTCTCGATGCTGTCTTCAGGCACTTACTAGTTCTCCAAACTTTTCTTAGCCTCAGTTTCCCTATCCATAAAATGAGGATAATGATAACACCTACTTCATAGGATCGTTGTGTGGGCTCAAGTGAGACAACATATGTAAAATTTTTTTTTAAATTTTAAGGCACTCTGTAAATCGTAGCTGTTATTATTATCATCATCATTATTATTATTATTAGTGCCTAACAGCCCCCTACTCATAGGGGGCCTATTAGATGTTAAATGGAATTGACTTTCCTAGTGAATGTTAGGGAAACCAACTTTCCCAGATTTTACATTCTTTGTGGCTCCTTTGTGGCCACAGGAATCACTTACTTAGCTTGTTAATTTGTTTTGTTGTTATTTGGTTATTTTAGTCATGTTAGACTCTTTGTGACCCCATTTTGGGATTTTCTTGGGAAAGATACATTTCCTTCTCTAGCTCATTTTACAGATGAACTGACTTGCCCAGGGTCACATGGCTAGTAAGTGTCTGAGGCAGATTTGAACTCAGGAAGATGAGTCTTCCTGATTCCAAACCCAGTGCTCTATACACTGCGCCACTTAGCTGCCTTGATAACCTGCTTAGCTCCCTTTTAAAATGTGTTGCTTTTTATCAGGTATTTATGATTATGCCTGAGGTATCACTGTTAAGACATATGTATTAGGGCATCCTGTAACTATTTCAGTACTTCAAAGATCTAGATTTCATCAGCTCTTACTATGTGCACATATTGCAACTTCTTTAATAGCATTGGGTCATTCCTCTCAGGGAACCTCTGGAGAATCTTGCCCTCCAGTGGGTCTCCAGATTAGAGGCCAGTAACTTCAGAGACTGGCAGAAAAAGAAATAAAAAGTTTATTCTAAAACTAACTAGGGGAGCCCATTTGGTACATCCCTGAACAGTTAGGATTGCTTTAAGTAGAACTTGTATCCCAATTCCTAGCTCCCTCTGCAAAAGTCACAGGCAGCAAGCAGCATTCTGTGGCAGTTTGGGTCAGGTTAGTAATAGTTTTCAAAGCAGAGGGAAGAGAAGAGGAAAGGGGGTGACCAAATTGAGAAAAGGAGGTTTCTAGGGATATGTTGGTCCTGCAGCAGGTATGATGTTACCAGGTGGGAAAGCAATTTCTGTTCCAGGGCAGGAAGGTGACCATATAGATAAAATTGTTATGATCTGTAAAGACAGAAACCTGTTTGATTCAAGGCAGCAGGGGTGAGGTAGCCTTGTCTAAGGACACCAGATGGGTTTTACAACAGAGAATAAAGCCATCTGTTAGACTGTGACCTGGTATAGCCTTTTCTCCTTCAGTGGTTCTGTCTTGAGTTGCTGTGACCCTCACAGTTAGTTACTAGGAGTTTGACCTTTCGGTGATGACCCTGTATAACTTAGCTAGACTGGTTTTTGGAGGACAGATATGCTTTCTCATAGTGCCCTTGCTGAATCCTTGCCAGCTTGGTGTGAACTTGCTGTCAGAGCCTTCATGCTTTAACCCCTCTTGGTTCTGTTCTGACTTTTCTGGACTCCCCCCACCTCCTCCTTAGCTGCCATCTCACCCTGGAGCTTCTCTTAGCCCCTGGGACTTCTTTACTCTAGAACCAGGGTGGGGAACCCGCAGCCTTGAGGCTGTATGTGGCTTTCTGGGTCCTTGGGTGCAGTCCAAGTTTTGACTGAGTCCAAGTTTTACAGAACAAATTCTTTTATTAAGGGTGTTTGTTCTGTGAAGTTTGGATTCATTTAAAGGGCCGCACTTGAGGACTTAGAGGGCCACATGTAGCCTTGAGGTTGCAGGTTTCGCAACCCTGCTCTAGAGCATCCAACTGACCCTTCAGCCTTCTCACTTGGAATGTCCCTCGACCAAGCTGTTACCCCTTCTTTCACTGGTGTGTTCCTCTAAGGGCTTCCGTTTTGCAGAAGGGTCCAGGCGAGCCAGCTTTCATTCCTCTTCAGGTTTTACTTCTGACATTCTGGACTTGCTACTGACCTCCTCCCACCCTGGGAACCCCCCCAGCCACACTAGGACTGCCTTAGAGTGGGGTTTTAGTAGAGATACTTTATCAAGAAATGTAGCCAAATTTTCCAGGATTTGTTTTTTACTCTCTCAATATGAATTATTTTCCTTTTTTCCACTGGTAATTTTAATGTAGAGTGTATATTGATTTAGGAAAACTTGATGTATAAACACTGGAATTTAAAAAGAAATAAATTAGGGAATGATTGTATCTCATTAGGATTCATAGGATGTTATTTAAAATATAGAACACCCCTTAGTTCATTTAGAATGATCATCCTGTTTCCAAAAATTTTGTTTATATGACATTTTTCATGAACTCATGAATGATTTGTTGTATAAGTGAAGTGTATTATATTTTAAGGAAAGTATTTTGAATCATGCTAAAGCACATAGATTCTGGGGCCCTAATGATTTTGCCAATACTGAAGTATCTCTTTTTTGGCAAAGTAGATTTGATATTTACACAAATGGCAGGATCTCTTGATGACAAGAAAATTTCCTTGTAACTTGTTTTAATTTTAAATTTATCTAATGCTACACATGTGGTATGGTGAAAGAGAAACTTGAAATGCCACTTGGTTTTCTAATGTCATAGTTTAGTAACTTAAGGAGGTATCTGTCATTTCATTGGTTAGGTACTTTGAAAAGAAGGGGATTGCAAACCTTGATTAGCTTAGTGGATGGTCTTTGAGAATTACTCTCTCATCTTCAAATTCATCATTTTATTGCCAACCTGATGAGCTTTTCTGAACTTAGGCTGTTTCTTGGATGAAAAACCGTTAGTCCATTACTAACTTTTTACCAACATCTACCAAACCTTTCTAGCTTGGTAGGAACTTTGAGAGCTAGTATTCCATTGGCATAGCCTTCAAGAAGGCAGGATGAAGTTCATGCAGAGATGAGGCTTTGGAATAGGATTTTAGTGGAGGTGAATAATGTAATATTGAAATATTAAATGCCTTCCTATTTGTGTGGATTTAAAAAAATTTGATTTAAAAGTTTTTTTTTTTTAAATTAAATTGATCAGTTCTATTTTGACTCCTATGAAACCTCCAATATGCTCAGGTTTGAATCTCCCATGGTCTGTAAGTTAAGGAAAACAGGATAAAAGAATTATTGTGACTCATAGTACTTGCATATAACCTTATACTTAAGTAGTTTTACATTTTGTTGAAAGAAAAGTGTGTGCTAAGTTTCCAATTTTAAAAAATTCTGCATTTTATTGCCATTTAAAAATGTTTTCATTTATATAGTTGTATATTGTTATTTTGGTTCTGCTTTGCTCACTTTGTATTACTTCATAACACTCTTCCTATTAGATCTTATGAGCATATATTGACTAGTAATCTTTTTTTACAAAATTCAGCTTGGCCAAAATTTATTGGCATTGGTATGGTAAGCATTAGCTGAGTATTTATGCTGCTTTATTTTTGTTTGTTTTGTTTTTTAGATTGTCTTCTATTTCACCCAACCTGAAAGTGCGGCAACCACTCATGGGCTAGATTCCACTACTAATTGGCATGGTAGCTTTAACCTGTACTATTTTTCTGACTGGGGCTGTTTTACCTCTCTTCAGCTAGTCTTTGCTGCCTGACCTCTGCTTGGACCCTCTGATTACTTAATAAGGTGCCCTAGCCCCAAGCGATCCCACCAGCCTTAGCTCTAGCCCTCTTTAGTAGCAGGAATTACAGAACTACAGGTGTGCCCCACCGTGATGGGCCCGGGTTTTAAGTTATGTGATATTTTAGCTATTAAAACACTTCATAATTTTGTTTTCTACCAAGTTTGAACTTTAATTTGGATTTCTACATTTTAGTGCTGAAACGTTAAAGACTCTTAAGTTGTAAGAATTTGTTTTTCTCTTCTAACATCTTACTTTTGATTAGATGTTGATGTGAAATGTTAAGCTAAATAATAATAATGATCCAGAGGTATATTCATCATTGTGATATTTTTATATTTATACTAGTTCTAATTTCTAAGGGATGTCTTGGTGGAAAGGCCTCTTCTATGATATGGACTTGTTTTTTTGCTTAATCTTGGACATTCTAAGCATCTCAATTTAGGTCCTTGATTGTTTAACTTCAGAACCTTGTATAATCTTTCTGTTGTGCTTTCAGTTTTCTGCCTATAAAATAAATGGTAATTGCTACCAGTGTTTTCAAGTTATGTGATAGTCATACATAGCACTATGTTTTTTGTTGGGATAGAGATCCTGTCTTTAAGGATTAGTGAAGATGTGGAGCTGGAATGAACTTAGAGGTAATTTAGAAGATTGTGTAATAACAGGAGTCTGGCGGGGGCGGGGGGCACCCCTCACCACCTTCCCATTTTGCCCATAAAGGAACTGTGGTCCAGACTGAAGTCACATGTTAATAGCAGAACTAGAATTTAGATTTCTTGGCTCTCATGACAGTGCTCTGTTATTCCTTGATATTCCTGAAACAGAATATCTAGATCGTTTTTTCTTTTGAGCCTATTACTGTTACAGGGAATTTTGTTAGGATAGTTATGTTGCTGGAAATTGATTGAACAGAATGTCTTTTTAAAGGTCATGGTAAATTTTGTGTGTGGGTGTTTGTGTGTTTTTAGCCTAGATGTATTCCGTTCGAAAAACATTTCAGCGTTTTAATGTTGGTTATTAAGATATTTCTAATGTGAAATTTCCAATTTATTTGTTATAATAATGTTTGTCCTAAACAGCCCATGAACAACTAAATGATCTTCAATTATATTGTAGGTTTAGGAGGATTTCTAAAGAGAATTAAATTGCACCCTGTCATTTTGTGTATTTTTAATAGCAAGCGAAAAGTAGTTTCAGATAGTCTTAAGAATCTGTGTAAAATCCCACCTATGATTCTTACTACCTTGGACAAGTCACATAAAGTCCTTGAACCTCACTTACTTAAACTCTAAAATGAGGGAATAGCTAGGTGACTGAATGTGTAAAGTCTTGGACTTCAAGTCTAGAAAACCCAAGTTCAAATCATGCCTCAGACACTTACTGTGTGACCCAGTACAAATTATTTAACTGCTGTCACTCTCAGTTTCCTTATCTGTAAAATGCAGATAATAATAGCACATCCCAGTATTGTTGTGAAAATAAAAGGAGTTAATATTTGTAAAGTACTTTGTGAACATTAAAGTGCTCTATAAATTATTGTTATTGTTATGATAACGCGTTTGAGGAGGTCTTTTCTAGTTCTAGCTCTCTGATCCTATGATCAGTTTCATGGAACATATTTTCTAAATGTTGCATGAATCAGAATGATTTGGACTATGACCACATACTGAGAGGGAGTCAGGAGCATAGAAGGGGAATGAATCCTCCCTTATGCCTAGAATGGAACTTTTTTGTATTATTTTGATCATTTTTGGAAAAATGCCTTAAAACTAGTAACTAGTAAACTAGTTAAACTCTAGTTTACTAGTAAAACTAGTAAAACTCTTTTTTGGGGGGATAAATCAGAGTAATCATTACCTATATTGTCTTCCACATTTAAAGATTTAGTATTCTTATTTATCCCAGGAGAATATATAGGACATTGAGGTCATAAAGTTTTCAGTAGGCAGACCAAATATCCCAAAAGAGTTACGTTTTTAGAGCAAAGGAGGCTAGCAATGAAAATGTTTGCAATAGGGTGTAATAAGAGCATAATGTAGTTGTGGCAATGTGAGTGGAAAGAGAGGGGTGGATGTAGAGATTTTAGTGCCTTTTGAAGGGCATTTAGTTGTCTGAGCTGGTTAAGGGGGGCAATGATGAGACTAATTTTGGACACTTTAAAGTTGCACTGTTAGTAAGATAGAAGAGTAGAAATGTGTAGAAGATACTTGTAAATAAGGGATTGGATCAAAGGGAAAAGGAGTTTTTATACACACACACATACACACATACATTTATTTCAAGAAATTGTCAACATTTTACTTTCTGTTTGAGCTAGCGTAAAGAAAAGACCAAGGATTGCAAGGATTGGGGGAGGACCAAAAGAAGTAAGAGGAGTCTATGAAGGAAACAGGAGTGAAGAATGAGTTTCAGATTATATTATGGAGCAGATTTCTTTTTGGAGTAGAAAATGGTTGAGATCAAGGAACTGGAAGAGATGTACTCTTTGGAGAAGAGCAGGGCTACATCTTTAGATTAGAGGGAAGAATGAAAGGATAAGATGTGGTGATAGAATTGGATTGAAGGAAGATGGATAAGTACCACAGATTATTCCTTTGTTACCTCTATGAAATAGGAAATAAAATACAGGAGACTCATATATTGAATATGAGTCAATTTGCTTTGGGGTAGGATATGCATCTTTACTATCAATGTTTTATTTTTGATTCCTCTTATTAAATATTGTCATTTTTATTCTCCTTCCCCCAACTCCCCATTAAACCCCATCATGTAACAAAAACAGTTAAGTAAAACCAGCCAGCATCTGACAAGGTATGCAACATTCTACATCTGTACTCCTCTCTACCTTTATACCAAGAGGAGTAAAGTTTGTTTTATCATCTGTCATCTTGTGCAAATATTGATATAGAGTTTACATTTAATCTGAGCTGTATTTTAGTGCTATTTTAATTTCTACTTTTTAGGCCTTGGGGCTTTAGAAGAGAGAAGAAAATCTAAAATGACCTCTGGGTGGTTCATTGGAAGCCAGCTTAAGTATACATATATTAACTTTTATTTAACAAAACAAATTCTATGCTTGCTTTCTAGGGGACAGATGATTTCAGGTGAAGATTGTGAATTTATTCAAAGGTTTGAGATGAAAAGAAGTCCAGAGGAGAAGCAAGAAATGCTTCAAAATGAAGGCAGCCAGGTATTTTATTTTGAGACTTTTCCATGTTTGAAGTGTTTTGATAAAATTTAGATGTCTGGTTTCATATGACTCTTAAGTAATATAAATATGTTATAGTAGTATCTTATAATAAATGTGTTCTTTGGTGTTTGAATTTGGCTATATGAATGAACCCTTTCTTTGAAAAAAAAGTAATAAAATCTTAGATTTTGAATACTTTATCATTCTTAAGGATACACTGGGACAAATGGGGATGAATTTCATACATCATTCTATGGAAGAGATTCTGTTGTTTTATTGAATTTTGGTAATTTTTGATAGCCTTTTTAAAGTTCTGGCTAAAAATGTCAACTTCCATAAAGCTCTCATTAGATTTTAGGGCACAGTGCATACTAGCTTAAACTCATAGCTTAAGGAAAAAGTATAACTGACTTAGAAGTGTGTGGTATCCAAGTGGAAATCTCTACTTTTGCACATAGCTAATACCAATCTGATAGACAAATCGATTCTTGTAATTATCCTGTGAGATAACCAGGATAACACCTCTCTCTTGCTCTTTTGGGCTCTTTTAATTTTTATTTGTGGGTTAGTAAATGGTTTTGTATGTTCTAAACGATTGTACAAATAAATGTTAAATTAGTAGCAAGAACATCTATATTTCCTTTCTTCTTTTCCAGCCAGCCTGCATGTCTTTGATCTTTGGAAGTCCATTTATGTGGCTGGTCTAGTTTATCACGTCTTCCAAAGTATGATCAACATTCACTTTGGTTTTAGTTGATAACATTAGAGTCATTAGGGAGTTGACTGTCAGTGGAGTTAAATCCATACAAAAAGGCTGTGTGGCTAGAAGGAACTGCAAAGAGAATATGAAAGTTCTTTCTCATTGACATTTGCTTATTCATCTATTTGTTACTTTGGTGCTTTTTGTTAAGAAACTATTGGCATATGTTTATGATTATTACTTTTGTGTGATATAACTTCATGTGGATGTTTCTTATAGGTATCACCTTTGTGATCTTTTCAACGAGTATGGTATTTGTGATATATGGTACAGAGTTAACTAGCTAATCTGAGAAAGGGTCCTGGGTAACCTAAGGAAGATAGTTACTTGAATATGTGCGTGTTTCCATATGGAATACAAGTCAAGATTTTGGCCTTAAAGCCCTAAATGTTTTGAATATTTGAAATAGTTTTTTTTCCCAGAATGCCACTCTTTTGATAAAATATTTTTACTATAAGCTTCCAGTGAATTTTCATTTTCAGCATGACCCTCAGGACTATCATTTGCTTTCCCTATGGGCTTAGGTAAAGCTTGAGATTGCAGACCTTAAAGGAAAGATGAGAAGATCTGTAATTAGGTCCAATCACTTTGTCCTGAGCTAGAGTTAGAGTGAAATTACCCGCATTATCTTGATGTATGTAATTTGTAGTTTTATAATGTAACGGAGAATTAAAAATTACATTTTTTCCAATTTGGTCATTTCTTATAGCGATTTTTGTGTTTTCACATAAAAGATTTATACTTATATTAGATTGTAAACTTCTTGAGGACTGGATTTGTCTTATTTAACTTTGAGTTTCCTGTAGCACCAGCACATACATTGTACATAATAGACATTTATTTAGTCAATGTTATAAATGAATGAATAAGTGAAATATCTTTTACAAAGGCAGTTAAAATATTTTGTATTGTAGAATAGTTAATTGTGTACTTGCCTTATCCTCACTATTTTTAAAAGCTTCTTCAAGGTAGTGTCTGCATGTAGCTCATCTTTGAATCTCCCTATAGCAGCATGGCAGAGGGCCTCACCCATCACATTTTTTGTTTGTTTTTTGGATTATGTCTGGCATTTCATCCACATAGGGATATCTCAGTGAGGAAACTCTCTTCGCTAATGCAGTTAGGTACCTGTTTTGCAACTTTTGGTCTGTCTGTCAGTCCATAGGCATTTATTATGCACTTATTGTGTGCCAGGCACTATGATAATTGTACCTTTGCCTAGGATCCCACAATCAATATGTGTCAATGTGAAAGACATAAACCCAAATCTTTCTGATTCCAAGGCCAGCTCTATCATGCCACACTGCCTCTATTCCAGTAATATATGCTCAGTAAATAATTAGTTGAATTTAACCTCTTTTAGCTATTGTGGTGTTCCTTTTCAACATGTCTTTTAGAAGGTGTCAGAATCCCAAAGCTTCTCTTTCTTGAAATATTTGGAGGCAGTGTATTTTAATATGACAGTGGTGATCCTACTTATAGAGAAAAAAATGTCTTTTTTCTTTAATACTGTCTCTTACATGGCAGTCAAATCTTTCATCCGTTTGCTGATTTTCTGTGGCAAATGTTTAATCTCAGACTTAGCTTCCTCAGGGCACGTGGAAGCTGTTTCACCCAAATTTTAAGTTGGTAATTGCATAACTCTAAGGAGTAACTTTAGCTAGTCCAACATAATTATCAAATATGAAAGTCTTGATAAAGTTAGAGATTATAGTATTCAATATAAATTTGAATGTATTTTTATTTTCTAGTGTGCCAAAACATTTATAAACCTGATGACTCATATCTCCAAAGAACAGACAGTTCAATACATACTAACCCTGGTTGATGATATGCTTCAGGTAGGTTAATGCTCCATTTAGTTTATATGATAGCTTTACCTTTTTGTTTACTTTAGAATAACATTTTAGAAATTTCACTTATAGATGGTGATAGTAAATTTTTCCCAATTCCGTAACTTGTGAGAATTGTGATTTGGTAATTATGGGCTTATGTGTAGGTGTGATTTGTTTTTTGGGGATTGATATGCAGAATTTCCTCGTTTTCAGTACTTAGATGGTCTTTGTTGAACATACATAGTAATTTTGCTAGCAGCTTTTCTTTTAAAATTGGCTGATTGTCACTATGTGCAGAACAAAGTGTCTTCTGTGTTTCTACTCCAGCTTCCTAACTAAGAGTACAAGTCATAGACAAATAGGCAGGTTCTTAAAACTTCTTTTCAGAAAGAGTTGAAGAAAATGATAACAGTGGGTTTTTAGGGACATCTCCTGAGAACATGAATGCCCATGGGCTGCCATGTGACTTGTGGTGATTTTATGGACTACTGCCTACATAGAGAGGTATGGTAACTATGTATGGTATCAACTGTCTGCCCTCTGATCTATAGATTCAGAGAATCAGGATGAATAAAGTTTTTTCATCATAACCAAACTTTCCAAGCCTCAAATTTGAAAACTTAGATAACAGTTAAGCATGCATGACTTATTTTCAGAGAAATCAGACATTTAGATCTGTATTTTCGCTATCTTTCAAAGTACTGTAACTAGGCTAGTGCCTGTGAGTTAAGTGGATTAATCACTTATAGAGCTGCTTGAAGATGAGGATAAGTATGTTCAAGATCAGGAAAAATTTAAAGTTGCAAACAAAAGATTGCATATTTCACATGAAAAATGAGCAAGTAATTTTCTACTTGCCTTCTAGAGCACTGAGAGATTAAATGATTTGCTGAGGACCCTATAGACAGTGTATGTCAAAGGTGGGACTTGAACCCAAAGGCCAGCTCTTTAGCACTTTGCCCACTGCCCCTCAAACCCCCCCCCAAAGGGGTAAGGATCTAGAGCAACTGATTGAATAATCAATAATTAATAAATATTAAGTGTCTGCTGTGTGCCAGGCACTGTGCTAAGTTCTGGATTCTTTTTATTAGATAAAAGAAAAGATCTTTTTAGGATCACATCAAATGCTTCCTCTTCCTTGAAGACTTCTTTTATTATTATAATTACCTCATCAAGTATTAGGGCACTTAAGACATTGGTGTGTATCTTCTATAACCACATGCATATTATTCTGGCTATATTTAAACAGAGGCTGAGGTATTATTTAAGTCAAATCATGAACTTCTGTTTTCATCAAATCTTTTGTAATTGAATGTAGTAACAACAGTAGGACATGCAAATTTGAAGAAATGATATGACTGTATATGGAGGCTGGGAATGAGTTTGGCCTTTGCAGGGGGATAGAAAATGATTAACTTTATTGGAACCAGAAGGTTTATGTTAGATGGTAGTGAGTTGGAGGGTAGGTTAGATCATATGATATCAGATTATGGCTTGTTTTGAAAGTCATAAGTTTAGAGTTCGTGAAGTAGGAGTTTTTTATACTTTCTTGAGCAGAAGTATGGAATGGCAAAGTGGTAGTTCAGGAAAATAAATTAAAAACTTTTTCTTTTATAAAAAATAATGCTTTATGAAACACACATTCATTGATGCTCAGTTCTTTTAACCATAAAATGAGAATAGTATTAACTTTCGTAGCATTATCAGACTAAGGATAAAAACATTTGAAAGTGTTTTGTATCTGAATAAAATCCCTTTTAGAAGTACTTTTACACGTCTCAATAGAATAAGCATTCCACAATGTAAGGAGGTGAAAGCCTTTGCCAAACAGCAAATAATTGTTAATATCCAGAAAACAAACAAATGAAAAACTGACATGAATAAAATAGACTTTTTTATGATCTGAAAATAGGAAAAATCATTTAACAATATTTTAGTGCATTACTATTTGTATGTTTAATAGTGAGGAAAATATTTTCTTTTCATATATATAAAAATTGACGTGAAAATGACATTTCTGAACATTTATGTTTCTTCAGGAAAATCACCAACGAGTTAGTATTTTCTTTGATTATGCTAAACGTAGCAAGACTACAGCATGGTCCTACTTTCTGCCAATGTTGAATCGCCAGGATCTTTTCACTGTCCACATGGTAAGCATTTAGTTGATCACGTTCCCAATGTAGAGGAGAGATGACTTTATGGACATTTGTGGTTGGCAAACTCTTTTTCCACTCCCGTGGGAGCAACCATAGCTATCCTATTATTTAAGAATCTTAGCTCTGTTAATTTCAGGTTAATGACTGGGTAGCCTTAATAATTGTAAAATACCTTCTCATAAAGAAGTCAGAAGCAGCAGAGGGGAAAAGAGCCTGTACAAAGCTGGGGGAAGACGCAATTTAAGCCTCATCATCCAAAGGGCGTATATCATTGGAACTAATGGAGAGCAACAAACAAATTAAATGGAAATGATTTATTTGTGTTTCTGCTATAATCTATTCTTACTGTTTTTTGTATAACCACACCACCACAATGGGACTCTGACCTCCACAAAGGCAGTGGCAATGACATTTAGGAAGTCTGAGTTCATGCTCAGAGTGGCTGAACTTGATATAACCAATTCGGAAAATATTGAAATGAATATGGTTTTAAAGGTACTTAGGGACTGATATTCAAGCTATCTCAGAGAGGAGAAAATTCCAAGAAGGATGAAAAAAAATCACAGATGGTATTATTACAAAAAAAAAAAAAAAGCAACTGAGAAGAAGGCCTCATCAACTACTTATTAATATAGCTTCTTTCTCATCTCTATAAAATATTTGAGAACAGTCTTTGCGCTCATTAAAGGTGTCTTTCGTGAAAGGCATGAAAAGAAAATAGGCAGACTTTTGTAAATAGTTTTCTCTAACATTTTACATTCGTTGTCGTGCTATGAAATAACAAAACTTGTAAAGAATATAAGATCCCAATATGTTTATTGTTTGTTGATTATAAAAGCAGATTTTGGCTTTGTTGAACAAAATGTGGCCTTGGGTACTCTTCTTCAATAAGGCATCTCCTATGCATATGATAAAATCATATAAGACTTTATGATAAACCAAAGAAAATAATTTTATTCACTTATCTCTTATCAGCATTATACTTCATGTTACTCTCATTGTGGGCACTGTAGAACAGTGCTAGGTTGTCTGTGCTTTTCATCCTTTGCATGTATGTATGTGTAGTCTTCTGGTGATTTTATATGTTTGTAAACTATAGAGTACTTCAAAAAAAATCAAAACTGTAATTGACCCAAAAGTCATTGGAAAGATGTGTGGCAGAATCAGATAGCCTCACAATAGTTCAATTTAACAAACATCTATCTCCGTGATCTCCAGAAGTTCTTTGTAGAGGATATATCGAATATGATGAAGACCCTCATTTCTGTCTTTTAAAATTATGTGGGCGGGGCAGCTAGGTGGTGCAGTGGATAGAGCACCAGCCTTGAAGTCAGGAGGACCTGAGTTCAAATCCGGCCTCAGACCAAATAGTTGACACTTACTAGCTGTGTGATCTTGGGCAAGTCACTTAACCCCAATCTCCACCCCCCCAAATAAAAATTATGTGGGTACCAGAATAACTTTTGGCTACTTGTTTGCTATCCTTATTCTTGCTGTATGGTTTTTCCACTTCCATTTATATATTTATACATTTTCTGGATAAAGTATAAAGTCCAAATAAAAGAGGAATTCGCCATAGATATAGATGATGGAGCATATCCGAATAAACTCCTTTGTTTATCTTTTAAAGCCCTTAACAGTATCTTTCTAGCTTCCTGTATTACTACCCTCTTTCCACACTCTCTGATCTAGCCAAATCGGCTTTTTTTTCTGTTCTTCATACTTGGCACTCGAAGTTACTGCATATAATTAGGTTGCCCTGAGTGTGCCTGAGGTGCTGACACCTGTGTCAGAATGGAGGCAGGAGCTTAGGAGCTTGGGAACTTGGGCTTGGAGAGAGGGAGTGTTAGTGGATAAGGATAAATGTGGTTGTGTTGGACACAAGCTCTGTGATTGGCTTATGTAGAGAGAGTAGGATCTGGCCCATCTTTCTACCTTCTTATTTATTGATCTCATACCCTTTGGGGTTGGGCTAAGGCTTTCACTTTGAAGAAAATTGTTCTAGCGCATGTGTTTGTGGTTGATGTACTGATTGCACTAAATCCTGGTGAACTTCAGGGCCTCTTTAGTGGTGTCCACAACCATTCCAATGCAGTCTGCCTAGGAAAAAATAGAAAAAGAATGTATGTTACCAAGATATTGTTCAGTTGTTTTTCATTTGTATCTGACTCTTTGTGACCCCTTTTGGAATTTCTTGGCAAAGATAGTGGAGTAGTTTGCCATTTTCTTTCCCAGTTCATTTTACAAATGAAAAAATTGAGGCAAACAGAGTTAAGTGACTTGCCCAGCATCACACAGCTAGTAAGTGTCTGAGGCCATATTTGAATTCAGGAAGAAGACTTTTCCTGACTCCAGGTCTGTCACTCTATCCACTGTGCCACCTAGCTGCTTTGTTACTCAGATGAGGACATGGAATCGTATGGACAAATTTTATATTTAGAATCGAAAGGGAGAAAGTTGAGATGAATTACATTTAGGTAATTTTTAAAACCACTCTCTGGTCAGGTAATCCAGAGGACAGTAGAAACATGTGTGGTAGGCATAAAGCTATAGAACATGTTAATAATTATGAGTTGCGTGAGAAAAGTGGCATAAAAGATGTTCCAAAAAATATACTATGACTAGAAAAGTATGTGGGCTAGTCATGTAGCAAGAGCACATGATAACAGATGAACAGACTGAGTATTGCATTGGTGTCCAACAAATATCAACCATAGTTAGGCTTCTAGAGTCTTAAGTATGTCCTTGATGGAAGATTTATGGAGGGAGAGGAGTCCCATGGAATAAAAAGGTGTAAATGAGTTGTGATTTGTAAAACATCATAAGGAGTACTGACATCCATGAGATAATGGATTGATTTCTCAAAGTATTTAAGTAAGGTTGCAAAAATGAATGATTTCATAATAGCCTACATTTATATAGCATTTTATGCACATTATTTCATTTGATCCTCACTATAGCTCATTGAGGAGTATATTTTTCTGTGATTTCCCCCTCAATCAGAACACATTTTTAAAAAATAAATTTTTATTGGTATCTTGTTTTTTTTTACATCATCAGTACTTTCTCCTATATCCCTTTTCTTCTTTCCAAGAGGGTTATCATATATGACAAACAGTAATTGTAAAGACAAAAAAAAAAAAACCAAAGCAGTGAAGCAAATTCATAAGATAGAATTTTGAAACTCCAAAACATACTGAGATTCAAAGATTTAAGGATACTTGATATGTTTTAGGAATTAAATGTCATTGATGATTATTCATTCCTTGTAATGCAAGCATTTCTTCTTTGTTTTTAGGCAGCAAGAATTATTGCCAAATTGGCCGCGTGGGGAAAAGAATTGATGGAAGGCAGTGACTTAAATTATTATTTCAACTGGATAAAAACTCAACTGAGTTCACAGGTAAAAGAAATTTCAGTTTTAATCTTGAAAGGAATATTTAATTTAGATTATGGTGCTGAAGTCTAATAGTTATGGTAGTAAATTGAAATGCCACCCATTACTAGTAACCTTCATCTGCTCTCTGGTGGGAGCCTGCTTCTTTGGGGTAGACCTGGCTCCCCTACTTACCTTCTCTTCTGCTCGCTGTCTCGTCGTACATCTTCTGTTTCTTCTTTATTATATACTTGCACCCCATGGTAAAATTCTGTTTCTCTTTAACTCCCTTTTGTAGCATTTCTCTATCAGCCAGTAACTTATTTATATTTAACTTCCTGTTGGTGATTTCCTACTTCATTGCATTTTCCTGCTGTTGAACATTAAGACCTAAAGTTGTTGGTGAGACTCTTTTATTGGACTAGCCCTATTGATTCCAGACCTATCCATTCCGGCTCTTTCTTGGAACAAAAAAAGTAGCTAGGTGGCCTGTTGGCTGTAGCTGTTCAGTTTTATTGCTTTATTGCTTATTGCTGGCAAGAGTGGGGTCAAAGCCAGGGAACGCAGAAAGGCTCTTTGGATGGGAGTTAAACCTCTTGGTATATTGGAGCTTTCAGTAAGAAGGCTACTTTTCTTATAGCCTTCCGGCGAACATGAGAACACTTAAGACTGATTTCCAGATAGGGTGAAATAAGGAGTGGGGTTCCTGAAAGAGGATCCTGGAGAAGAAGTGATGGAAGAGAGTGGAAAAAACATAGCATTGAAGTGGTGTCTGGTGGTTCTAGTGATGGAGGCATGTCAGAGCAGGATAATGTCATGTAAAGGGTAATGGAAGGTGGTGATTCACTAGGAGGATTTTGTTCAGGAGTCATAGGAAAGGGGCATATACTGATGGGCTGCACTTATGGCATTGAGTTTCTAATTAAATGTTATATTTGAGTAAACTTTCTGAAAGATACAGATGTATGAGTGTGTGAATGCAATGTTTAAATGGGTTTTAATTTCAGGCATGTGAAATATGACATTTCCATTTATTTCCTATAACTGATTCTTGGTACTTTAAAAAATTCTACAATATATTTAGGAGTAATGAAAATTGGGATAGTTATACTTTGAAAAAATAGTTCTGGAGATGTTTAGTAATATAAAATACTTGGCTGGCGCAGCTTCATTGAAGTAAGAGCCTACTATTTATATTTTAAAATGCCTTTTTGGGCTTCATTTTGAAAATAATTATATCTGGAAGAGAACTAGTTAATTCCAAATCAGTCATGTTTCTTCATAGAGCCTTCAAAACAAGGTACTTAGAATGTGGATGATATAGAAGTTTGAAAGTGGGACTTTGTTTTTAAATATATCGGCACTCTCAATTTTAATGTGCTTCATTAACCAACTAGCATTTTAGATTTCTTCTGCACTCTTATTATTTGAAATAAGCTTTCTTTAAACAACTGTCACTCTAATTTTAGAATTCTAGCATGGTAACAGCATTAACATTTCAATCAACTTTTGTGTGGTAACTTGATTCATTCTATAATTTTTGGAGTGAACATTGATAGTAAAGAAGCAACACTGTAATTTACAATTAGTATTTTGGGTGGTTTCATTTCATTTTTGTTTAGTTTTAAACTTTTTGGAAATAAAATTTATATTGTGGCTCACAACTGAGAGAATGGGTGTTATTGTAAAAGCCTGTGGTTACAGTTATTCGTTCCTAGTTTGCTTTTTTCCTTTTAACAAGTAAATAGTATTGGCATAATCATAATTGACCATAAAAATTTCAGTGTCTGTAAGAGTTTTTCTTTGAATTGAATTCATTTTATGTTAGAGAAGTCATTTTGAAAGGGCATGTGTCCGTGAAAGATTAGAGACTTTGAGCTTCTTTGTTTTCTTCTTTTTTTTTTTTTCTTTGTATTTACTCTTACTTCGTGGCTTTTCATAGTACCTGGGTGCTGTTTTACTTTTTACAGCCATGGGTATTGTTTGTCTCTTAAGAACTTTGAATTGTTGCAGTTACTAGAATGTATTCATTATACTTGTGCTAGGATCGACTTTGTAATCTCTCTTTAAAGATTATCACTATGATTATTTTCAATTGTATTTGATGTTTTTTTTTCAAGTACCATGTGATTGTATATCTGGAAGACAACTTTTAAATGGTTTGAATGACTGTTTTTTCTCCTCATAAAGGCTAGAAATGCACCATTTTGTACGAAAGAGATTCTTTAAATTTACAGTAATTGCTGAGGTCACATCCTTGACACTTTTATTGTTTAGTGGCATCAATCAACATTTATTAAGTTCCTACTTCTAAGATTGTGGGCAAATAAGAAACAAACCCAGTTTATTTCCTTAAGGAACTTCTCGTGACCCTTTTGTATGCTCATTTTTTGTTCTACTACTTTAATTACTCTGCTAAATAAATAAAAAATTTTTTTGATTGAGTATAAGTTGTTAATACTACTATTGGTATGGCAGTTGTTAGCTCTAGGGCATTGACCCAAATCTCAGGTGACTGTCTCTTCAAGTCTGTTCAAGGAGAGAAACGTGATTGATTTAGCACAAATTTTTGAATACTTCTTGAAGTCTGACTCAAAGTACATGTCCTATTGAGAGAAACGTCTTCCTTTCCTTAGGAAATTTTGTGTGACTCTAGGTTTTTTTCTTCTGTATTGTCATTTAGTACTTTAGTGACAGTGCTTTTCTCTACATAACATGGTTCCTTTATAATAAGGATACACTTATTTGTAAGTACTTAATACTATTTAAAGAAAAATCTTCAGAATATTTTTAACATTATACTCATACAACATTACCTTGTTGTGTATTTGACTAAATAGAATTAGATAAAAATTAAAATTTGCTTAGTTCCCTTTCCTCAATTGATATGTTAGGATAAAATTAAAAACAAAACTAAGTAATGAGTTATTTATTTTGCAATAGAAACTGAGTGGTAGCGGGAGTGCTGTTGAAACAGGAACGGTCTCTACAAGTGAGGTAAGTATCTATACCATCTTAATACACTGCCCTAGCATACTACATTTGTTATTGTTAATAAGTGATACTTAATTTTTAAAAAATGTTGACTGGTCTCAATTTATTTTAACTTGTCTTGGCATCATTTAAATCTGTTTATCATCCACTTTAGGTTTTGGCTATAAATCAAACTTTTTTTGGCAGTCCATATTTATAAATTATTTTTAGCACATAGACATGGTCCATCACTCTTTCTTCTTGATCTATTCCACAAGCCATCTCTGCATCATAAAAATCAAAGCAAGACTGAATATTTGCTTGGTTTGTTGCTTAATGGGATATTGAAGTTCTACTATTAGGTGTCTTATCACCATTTTAAACTTCATTTGTTTAGGTATCTGGACTAATTGTCTTGTAGATGATATTCCTTACAGATAGTGGGGCAGTGAATGATTAGCAGGTTTGTCAGTTATTTATCCATAAGATTAAAGAGCATTCAGTTGGATGGCATCAAGAAACCTGAATAATAGTCCCTGTTTTCCCACTATGAGTGTGGGCAAGTCACTTAATTTCTTCAGGTCTCAGTTTCCTTATTTGTAAAATTGAAGTGTTGTTCTAGATATCTTGTAAAAGCCTAGGAAGCTCTGATATTCTGTGATTACAAAGCAACTAAACTTCTTGGTATCTTTAGCACTCAGTTATCCAAATAGCCAAATACCTCAGAGCCATGTGTGGAAGGGTAGAAGTGCCTTGGGCAAGTGCTTTCTTTCTCCGTTCCTTCCCTTCCCCAAGATTCATACAAGGGAATTGATTGCACTTGGAGTTGAAGCAGGCATGTCACAAAGGGTCAACACAGGGACCTTGAAAGGCAGCCTCATTGTGTAATCATGGAGTGTTAGAACTGGAGGAAGCATCAAAAAGCAACAAGGCTAACCCTCTAATTTGCCAGGTGGAAAAATGACCCACTTTGAGGGGATTGGAGGTGTGGGTAGGGGCTGAATATATGTATGGATTTGTCCACGCTCTCTGTTTCTGAAAAATTATTGTAGAAATTAATTAGTTAATAAGCATTATCTTCTCTCTCTCTATCTCTCCTCTTCCTTTTTTTTTTTTTTTTTTTTTTTTTTGAGCCCTGATCTCCCTATCTTCCTTAGGCTGGAAGTTTAGTGGCCAACTCGTGGGCCCAATCCCAGTATCAATGGGCATGGAAGCTTTAATCTGCTCTGTGGTTCCATTCCAGGCTGGTGCATCCCTCAGGCAGCCTGGTGGCCCCTAGCTCCTGAGGGCTTACCATACTGGTTCTGCACTTAGTGTGGACACCTTGTTGAGTTGGCCCACATCAACCAACTCCTGGAACTCGATAGATCTGTTAATTTCATCCTCCCTAGTAGCACAGGTTACAAACATGAGCCACCACTCTTGGCAACAGGAGGAACAACTTCTGCATAACTATATATTTATAAAATATGTACAGAGTAGAGAGGAAGGCTCCAGTGGCTAGGGAGACTGGGACAGCCTCCTATAGGAAGTGGGATTTGAGTTGAGTCTTGAAGGAATCTAGGGATTCTAGGAGGTGGAGATGAAGTAGGAGAATATTCCAGGTATAGAGGATAGCTAGGGAAAGACATGGGAGATATATTGGCTTGTTGGAGGAACGACGAGTAGGCCATTACTGCAAATCATCTAGTGTGCTGAGGGCAACGCATCATAAGAAAACTGGAAAGGTAAGAAAGGGGGGGAAGTGCTCTAAATGCCAAATAGATTAATTATTGATTAAGAAGATGATAGGGTCATCTGTGATTTAGGGAAGTCACCGTGACAACTGTGTTGAAGATGGATTGGAGTTAGGAGACACCTGAGGCAGGGAGACTAATTAGGAGACTATTGCTTTAGGCTGTGAGAGAGGCAAGAAGGGCCTGAAGTAGGGTGATAGCTGTGGGAGTGGAGAAAACGGGAAATATCCGAGGGATGTTTTGAAGGTAGAAATGATAAAATTTGGCAACTGAATGTAGATATGTAGTGAGTGAGAGTGAGGAATCTAGGATGACTGTTTCAAACCTGGATTACTGGGAAATTGGTTTTGTTGTTATTGTTTGGGGTAGCTAGGTAGTCCATTGGATAGAGTGCTGGGTCTGGAGTTAGGAAGATTAAGAAAGACTTCTTGAGTTCAAATCTGGCCGACATTGAGGCTATTTTGTAAGGAGGGCCTTTTCAGAATCAGGGTTAGTACTGTGGGCAATAGGTACCAGGCATCAGTTGCAGAAAGGATTTCAGTTGGTAGAAGCATCCTTTTGCTTCAATCAACAGTAAAATAATTTCCTCTCTCTGCTCTGTGGCAAGAGACAGTTCTCAAATATTGCTAGCTTGTGATTTGCTGGAAGTAAGACTCACCTGACTGTAAAAGGGGGAAAGGTATAGAGAAAGAGGGAGAGAGAGACAGAGACAGAGACATGGCTATGAAGAGGACAGGTGCTATAATCATCTTTTCTTCTTTTTCTTTTTTAAATGAGTGTCCAATATGACATAAATAATGTTTTGACTGCTTCAGGGTTCCATAGTTTTATCATTCTGTGATTACTTCCTTCTAGTAATGTAAATTATAATGTCTCTATAATGACCAATTTGGTGATGAATCTCTTGTTTTAAAAATTTAGAAAACTGAAGTTTAGCTTCATTTCATGAAACTTGTAGTTTTAACATCTCGAAGGGACCTTAGAGGTTTCATAAAAATTGAAGTTCAGAGTGCCAAGTGATTTTTGTGTTTTTTAGGCTTTTCCATTTTGAGTTTCCTTGGAATTTATCTGTCTTCATCTCTGAAGAAGCTTTCCAGTCAGTCAGGTTGGAATGCCATCTCTTTACATATGTTCATTTATAAAGGCAATATTTTTTTATTCTTTCCTGAAATTTTTGAATTTTTAGTAGGAGATTCTTAAGACTGAAAGGCCTTCAGGCCTCAAAGAAATAAATCTCAAATAGTGAAGTTTCAAACGCTGGTGACTGGAGATGTGGGAGATAATTTCAGATACTGGATTTTGGTATCAGAAGCCTACCATGTGGACAGCTATCTGTTCTACTTTCTAGTAAGGCTTTCAGCTCAGAGCCTTAGGTTTTCAGATATAAGTGGAAAACAGTTTTGACAGATTAGCAGTGCAGGATTTTGCCACTTGATGTCAGTATAAAATAAAGTTTTATTCTGATAAATACTACAAAATGAAAAAGAACTCAAAATGTTGATAGGCCACATATCATTCTTTTAAAATGATTGCAGAGACTTGCCTTAAGGTTGTGAATGACATCCTCAATTTCTTGATACGCTTTTAAAATATGCTTGCAGTTTTCTTAGTATATGAAGGTAACAATCCCACTTTCAACTGTGAGGATAAAGTGGTCTCTGGATATCTTAAGTAAGATGTATAAAGTAATCTACTTTTCTGAAGTATTAAGCCCATGGCTAAAAGGTCCTTATGTTGGTGTCTTTTTTTTTTTTTTGTGCTACTTTGTTAATCAGTGAAATCACTGGACATTGTGCTGCTTCATTAGATAAATTTAATAACAGGTTTCAAGTCTGTAGTTCAGATTTTTCTCTTGCAAGATAGTATAGCATTTTAATTCTTGGCCTACGATTAATTCAGAGTTTTTTGGGGACCCACATGAACCACTGTTCATGAAGAACAGTCATTTATATACAGTATTTAAAAATGAAAGACTGCTTGAATAACTTTCCTTTGTATATTCTATGTCAGAGAGTTAATGTTAATAATACTTTGATAGGTTATTTTTTTGATTGCAAATAGTATTTTTATTTTTTCCAATTACGTGTGTGTGTGTGTGTGTGTGTTTTAATTTTAGAGACAGTGCGGGTTAAGTGAGTTGCCCGGGCTCACACAGCTAACTGATAAGTGTCTGAGGCTATATTTGAACTCAGGTCTTCCTGACTCCAGGACTGTTGCTCTAACCATTGTGCCACCTAGCTGCCTCCTTCCAATGTAAAGATAGTTTTCAAAATTCATTTTTTGTAAGATTTTGAGTTCCATGTTTTTCTCCCTCCCTTCTCTCCTCCTCAAGATGGCAAGCAATCTGATACAGGTTATATACGTACAACCATGTTAAACATATTTCCACATTAATCATGTTGTGAAAGAAGAAACAAAACAAAATGGAAAAACCACGAAAAAAACCCCCAACAAAAAAAAAAAGCCAAAATAGTGTAAATAGTATGCTTCAGTCTGCATTCAGACTCCATAGTTCTTTCTCTGTATGTGGATAGCATTTTCCATCATGAATCTTTTGGAATTGTCTTGGATGATTGTATTGCAAAGAAGAGCTAAGTCTATCATAGTTGATCATTGCACAATATTGCTGTTACTTTGTACCCTGCTCACATCACTTGGCATCAGTTCATGTAAGTCTTTCCAGGTTTTTCTGAAATCCTCCTGCTTATTTTTTCTTGTAGCACAAGTGTTCCATTACATTCATATACCATATTCACCTTCCCCAATTGATGGGCATTCCCTCAATTTCTATTTCTTTGCCACCACAGAAAGAGCTGCTATAAATATTTTTGTACATGTAGGCTGTTTTCCCTTTTTTGTGATCTCTTTGGAATACAGACCTAGTAGTGGTATTACTGGATCAAAGGGTATGCACTTTGGGCATAGTTCCAAATTGTTATTCAGAATGGTTGGGTCAGTTCACAACTCCACCAACAATGCATTAGTGTCCCAATTTTGCCACATCTACAACATTTATCATTTTCCTTTTCTGTCATATTGACCAGTCTGATAGGTGTGAGGTGGTACCTCAGAGTTGTTTGAATTTGCATTTCTCTTATCAGTAGTGATTTAGAGCATTTTTTTCATATGACTATAGATAGCTTACTTTCTTCATCTGAAAACTGCCTGTTCATATCCTTTGACCATTTATCAATTGGAGAATGACTTATATTTTTATAAATTTGACTCAGTTCTCTATATATTTGAGAAATGAGGTTTTTATCAGAAGCACTTGCTGGAAATTTTTTC